AAGTTGAGTGACATGGGTGAGCAGGTTATGAGCCAGAGATGGGCTAGACAACTGGACACATAGAAAGCTGGGCAGGTCAATGGAGAGATGGACGGTGGAAGGACGAGCTGACAAAGTAGGACAGGTGGATGGCTGGCTGGTGATAACGAGCGAACAGACAGGTAGATGGAGACATGGGTGAACAGGTGCATGAGTGGGAGATGGACAGATGGGTGGATGGACAGGTGGAAGATTGGTGGATGGACCTGTGGGTGGGCTGAAGAGCAGATAGAGGGTAAGTGGGAGGGTGGCTGTGTGGGACGGTAGGTGGGTAGACAGTGGATGAAAGATGGATAAATGCCTGGTAGGTGGGTGGGCGGACAGGTGAATAGCAACAGCCCCCGGGGTATCTGACTCCAAACCCACGTCCCTCACCAGGGCTGGGTGCACCAAGGCTGCTTCATAAGTACCTTCAGTCTCAGGGGCCTGGGTCTGGCTTGGGGGGACCCTGAGGAGCAGAGGTGGAGGGCCAGACCCTCTTGCCCCTGGTGGATTCATGGATTCATCTCTACCCCCCACTTCCCACGACCAGAACCTCTCAGGAACATGTCCCACAGCCCGGGACTCAGTGGCAATGGGGGTGCGGGGTGGGGAGCAGGGCAGGGCAGGGCTTCACCTTCTCCAGGTAGTTAAACTCCATCGCAATCTCCCGGAAGAAGAAGTAGACATGGCTGCCCCACTCCACCGCGTGGACGAAGTAGGGCTCTGTAGGAGAGGAGGGGTCAGATCCCAGCCCCTGACATGACAAGGGGTTTCTGGGACTGGGAACACATCAGCCTGGGTGGCCACTTTTGTGGTGAAGGGGAGACCTAGGCTGGTTTCAGCAGCATCTACTTTATTTTTTTATTTTTATTTTTTATTTTTTTAAAAGATGACCAGTAAGGGGATCTTAACCCTTGAATTGGTGTTATCAGCACCACACTCAGCCAGTGAGCGAACCGGCCATCCCTATATGGGATCCGAACCCGTGGCCTTGGTGTTATCAGCACCGCACTCTCCCGAGTGAGCCACGGGCCGGCCCAGCATCTACTTGAGATCCAACTGAAATCTTTCCTCTAGCTTTATCTTCAAAA